GTGTAGATACTGAGATAAACTCTAGAGACTGTGATAACTGAACCATGGCCTTGTATTAAAGTGGTGTTAAACTCAAGTGACAAATTCTTATCGGCACACTAAAGTTGGCCACTAAAGTTGGCTAAACAGCATGGAAGGAGAAATCTCTAGTTGTGCCTACTTTATTCTGACAGCTGTCAGAATACATGAACAGAGACTGAAGCTGATTGGCTATAGTCACTGTCTAGACTAGCATTTTCCATCTAGGTGGGAGGTTGGTGACAGGGCCATCAACAGAGTGAATTTCAGCTGGAGCATCAAATTGTTTATAAATGGACCACATATTGGTAACTGGTGAAGAAAATCTTAACATACTACATTTGGTAAAGCAAGATCATAAGTGAAAATGTGAATGAGTAGGCTGGGCCATTCAATCCCTATATGTTACCATCTACTCGGGATAAAGTTAAATTATGTTTTGCAGCAGGTCCACATTAAAACCTGTTATGCCAGAGTAGACGGAATAGGCTGGGCCATTCAATCCCTTGAGGTCTAACAGAAAAGTGGGATATAAATGTATTTTCTACAGTGGAAACCGAAGGTCTCAGCAGCACAGGTAGCATGTTTTGTTCCAAAAAAAGGCTCTCAAGTCTCAAGATTATTTATATCTATAGGCAGCATGGTGGTTAGTATTGGGGACTTGCAACACTGGGGATCCTAGGTTTGAATCCCAGCCAGGTTACTATCTGCAAGGAGTTTGCATGATCTCCCTGTGCTGGGTTTCCTCCCAAGACATGCTGGAAGGTTAATAGGCTCCTGTCTAAATTGGCCCTGTATGTATACATGTGAGATAGGGACCTTAGATTGTAAGCTCCCAAAAGGCAGGGACTGATTTGAGTGTGCACTGTGTAAATTATCGGCACTAAATACCAGAAATTATATCATCTACCTATGGGATAAGTTCTATGTAGAACTGTACAATGAAAGATATAGGATATATACCATCATTGTACACACAGATTAACACATTCAGTTATATGCTGCTGTCTGCTCGGATAAAAATCAAATTATGTTCAGCAGCAGGTCCACATGAAAACCTGTTATGCTAGAGTAGACTGACACTTTCCATAACACAAAAACCACATCGATGTTTATCTGTATGACAAATATAACACTTCCAAGAATCTCAGGCTTATAATGTATCTTCCTTATGGACATTTCCGCTTTACTGATGTTTAATATATTACATTATACAAACGCGCCACAGAGACATCCTTCTATACTGAGAAAATCTGCACTGCTGAGAAGGCGGCCAGATTGTGTGATCTTTATTAAAGTGACACTAAACTCTGGAGTTAATTTATAAAAATGCATGCAAGTACCTTAAACTATTAACAATAATGTATCGTATTTGTGTATCACGCAGCTGTAGACCCTCAAATCATCTCTGAATTGGTACCGACAGTGTCCTTCCTTCTGGAGGGTGGCAACTTTTGTTCCCCATGGTCCCTGTGTGTGTTGTAAAGTAGTCCAAGTTGTAGAATACTCCAAGCTCACTCCTGTGATGAACTACAATATCATATTTAGTTTAATTTGTATTGAGATTGTAGTCCATCACAGGATCGAGCATGGAGCGGTGACTACTTTACAAAACACACACAGGGACCATGGGGAACAAAAGTAGCCACCCTCCAGAAGGAAGGACAGTGTCAGCATGGATTCAGAGATGATTTGAGGGTCTACAGCCGAGTGATACACAAATAAGATACTTGAATGAATTTTTAACATTCACTGTTATTACAATTGTAAAGGAAGAAAAAACAAACAAGCAAAACAACCAACCTAAAGAATATTCACTTGTGTGTGAGATATAGATTGTGTGTGTAATTAATTATATATATTATATATACACACACACACACACACACACACACACACACACACACACACACTGTCCTCAGTGTGCAGAAGGAAAGCCACTGGAGCTATGTATGTAGGGTGGATTACTACAGAGATTTTCATTACCCCCAGGAGCCCTCCAGAGATCAGATCTGGACAGTTACATTGAACCAAACTGGACCAATGTAAGTTTCCATAAAAGATCATTCCCGGAGTTCTGCTGTAAATACCAGCTACTGATGAACCAACATGGTCAAAAGCCGGACCAATGACAGCAACTGATGGATTTAGTGGAATTACAGAGCAATGCCTCCACCTAGTGGCCAGCAATAACCTTGCTGGCATGAACGATGGCTTCCATTACCTGCTGCAACATTGTATTGTGCATTTGTTTTTCCTTTATGGAGCTACTTCCACAAAGCAAATGGTGCAATAACTCACATGCATTGAACAGTTGAATACATAGTTTGTAAGGTTGAATAAAGACCAAGGTCCATCCAGTCCAACCTATGTATGCGAGTGTGTGTATTTTTCTAGCTTTACAACTTCCTATATCCCTGTAGGATTCTGCGAGAGAAGAAACTAGTCCAGTCGTTTTTTGAATTTATCAATGTTATCCGCACATACCACCTGTGGGAGGGAATTCCAAACCTTCACCACTCACAGTGAAATATCACTTGCAAATTCTATGATTGAACCCCTCTCTTCTAACCTCTTGTTGTGTCCCCGAGATCTCAATATAGTTTTAGAATTAAACAGTTTGTTCCTAATATTGGGGTCCCCATTGATGATTTTGAAGACTGCAAAAAGGTCCCCTCTTAATCGCCTCTTTTCCAAGTTGAACACGTTTAGATTTTGAATGCGGTCTTCATAACTCGGCCTTCAAACACTTTAAATAATTTTGTAGTCCTTCTCTGAACTCTCTCCGGTTCCAGGACGTCCCTCCTGAGAGTTGGTGACCAGAACTGTACCACATGCTCAAGATGGGTGCCGAACCAATGATTTATAAAGTGGAAGTACTAATCTTTGATCCCTTGCTACAATTCCTCTTTTAATACACGCCAGTATCTTGTTAGCTTTACTGGCTGCTGCTTGGCATTGCTTTCTATTGCCAAATCTGTGATCTGAGGACCCCCAGGTCTTTTTCTATGTCTGACTTCCCTAATGTAGCACCCCCAAGTAGTAGTTTGAATACAGGTTTTTTGTACTCCCATGTGCATAACATTAAATCGCATTTGTCATCTTATAGCCCATGCCTCAATTTTGCTTAGGTCCTGTTTTAGTGTAGAATAACTTTTTTTTTTTTTTTTAAACTGATAATTAAAAGTCCTTTAAGTAGAACGATGGGTAGGCATTAAGCTTTAATTTGTTTGTCCATTCAAAGCTACAAGTCCATCCAAAGCGCTGCTGTGCGCTTCCACTGCAAAACAAACAGCATGGTCACCCTGTTAAAGTGGAAAAACCATTTACTGGCACAATCTTGTTGCAGAACACTTACCATTTACCTCATGCAATTTTGCATTGGATATAAGTGGGTGGCAGCTCTCCATCAGATGTTGTATTTGGAGCTTTTGATGTGGGACTCAAAGCTTTAGATCCAGGTAAAGTATAGGTTTAGGCAGTTCATAAGCCAAGGCTGGCACCTCGAAATTAACCAACCAAAAAAAAAAAAAGGTATGCATGCAAAAAAGCAGACAAAGATATTAGGAGAAGCTGCAGGTCTGTAGAGCACCCTTCAGAGTTGTAGAATGATCCAATTGCCAATGCATTGTGTGCAGGGGGTCGTCATCGTCAGTTGCTGCTGTACCATCATCGTATTGACTGATATCACAGGAGTAGTTTATGCCATCATTCTGACTGACACTTTATATCACAATGCTCTTTGACACTATAAAAAAAAGCCACTGGCACTATAAAAATAGACTGACACCAAAATGCCCACTATAGCATAATAATGACTGAAGACCCCTAATTTGGGTCGATTTCTGCTAAATTGGCTTCAAGAACGGCCCGCTGATCAGGGTGGAGAATTATTGGCTGAACAGCAACTGCATCCTATTACATGCAGTCACTGTTTGGCTGTCATGGCTGTCTGAATACAATAGCAGGCAGTGACAAACTCCAGCATACCAGTTGTGGTGCAACTACAAGTCCCATGAGGCATTGCAAGACTAACAGCCAGAGGCAAATTTGTAGTTCACCACAGATGACGCTTGCCTACCCCTAAAGTAAAGGATTACTATATTGGCTAATAAGTCAGCAGTATCACATGTATGGACAGACACACACCAATTAAGGCCCCAGTAACAAAGTTAATTTAATTTAGAGAGGGGCACAGAGCGAAGTAAGGTTACATTTATGTTCACAGGTTCCGCTCTACAATATCAGTGACTTCCTTGTATGTGTTACTACTGCAGGAATCATTACAAAATACATTAAACTTCTTTTCAAAACTTATTTAATTCTGGCAAGAAACTGGTACAACATCACAACAGATATTAAGTGCCATCATGTAAGTGCAATTCCATTTGTCATTCATCTATAATCCAAAAGGAGGAAATGGATCTTATAGGAAGGAAAGCTGTGATGTATGAAAGTGTTAAAAGTTCAACTCCAGCCAAACTAAATGTTTTTGGTTCTGGAAAGCAGGGAAGGTTTAGGGGGCGCAAGGATTTTTATTGTCATGCATGTCCCGGTTTGTTAAGACTTCCCCTTCATGCCTGGCCTTGAAGTGATAGGAAATCTCAGGTACAGAGGGAAAAGAGTGCGAAAGAAATTAACTCCTTTTAATGCTGCCCATGACTTCCTGTCCCAGTGACCCCAAATCCCCTCATTTCTTGTACTGGTATGATAAGAGTAGAAAGTGAGAAAACCTACCCAGTGGGGTCACCCAAAAAAAAAAAAAAAAATTTGGCTGGAGCTGGGCTTTAATAGAACTATGTAACTCACAGCAATCAGATTCTCCTTTTCTTTTTTCCAGTTCATGAAGGAGAATTTGGTTGCCACAGATTCTGTGATTGCACAGTTCTTTCATACATGAGGACGAATGGTTTCACAGCATCATCAGCTTTGAAAGGTCTAATTACTGAGAGAGTTTTGGTTTGTCGATCTAAACTAGAAGTGAAAGGTGGACAACGGTTGAATGGCAGTCTTAATCTTTGAGAACTAGGGGAGCTTTGACCTGCTCCGCTGTCTCTTTCCCTGCTAAGCATTCTACGATAGCCAGGCCGAACTCAAAGCTGGTGCCGGGTCCGCGGCTGGTGAGAATATGGCCGTCCTGTTCCACTCGGTTTTCGGAGTATTTGTAGTGGTCTGGAAGAAGACAAACATTTATACAATTAATTGTAATTTTTATTGTTCCAATTTAATTCAAATGCATATTAATAGACATAACAGGTTCTGCAGAACTAAAGACTAGAAATTATTAACGGCCAGGCCAAATATAGCAAAGAAAAACATTACAATAATAATAATAATAATAAATAAACTTCTGCCACTGACAGCTGTTTTACAAACAAAGCCATGTGATCACCAAGCCATGGCAGATATGGTGATCACATGATCAGGATCCCCAAAGACTGGTTCCCACTCGTTAGTAGAGACCCTGAGCTGTCCGAGACTTGTAGCACTCCTAGCTCTGAGGGTCCAGTCACACCATAAAGAGTGCATTCGGCCTCTGGAACGCAACCAGGACCGCTCACTTTGTTTTGGTGTGGGAGGGGGCCTGGAGGTGCATTGAAGTCAATGGCACCGCAGCCATGCCCCCCGCAGTGCAATTGCCAGCACATTAGTGCCAGGGTTCCGGAACAGTGCGATCTGCAAAAATGCTGAATGCGACACTTTCTGCAGATCGCACTGGACTGGAACGCAGGCACTAATGTGCCACACATACAGGTGCTGGCAATCGCACTGCATTTACTTCAATGCCCCGCCACACCCCCTCCCGCCCCAAAACAAAGTAAGCCGGGCTGCGATCCAGAGGCCGAACAGACTTTTTATGGTGTGACTGGGCCCTGAAAGAGAACGTAGAATCATGTTTTATTGGCACTGGGCCTCATGCTGACGAATGTAACTCTACAGACTGTGCCCAGGAACGGGTGACTGCTTTAACAAAAAAGGTACCCTCATACAGCTTCTGCAAAAACCAGCTTAGGGCAACTCATCCTGCAGAGGGGCAACCGAGAGGATCCCAGGAGCCTGTACAAATTACATCAATGGTAATTAAAATGAGTGATTACCTCCAGTCATCATCTTGTCCTTGGCCAGGGGATGTGTGGTGACTTTTTTTCCATATCCTATTCCATGGGCCAGAAGGGCAGTGGGGCCTGGAACAACAACAAGGCGTTACTACAATCTCTTTTATAGTAGACTTGGCCCCCTTTACTACAAAGGGAAAGGATAGGGACTGCGTTATATCAACTCAGAAGACTTTCAGGCATATTGGAGTGTAAACCAAGCATGAAATGTTACCATAACAGTGTTAGATGGGTGAGTTAGGTGCAAGTTGTCCCGAGAGGAAGCTAGACCAGGGTCAGCAATCTAGCTATAGTGAAGCTACAAGTCCCATGATGCATTGCAAGACTGACAGCCACAGGCATGACTACCAGAGGCAGATGCATGATGGTTGTTGCAGTTTATCACAGCTGCAGTGCCGAGCTTGCCGATACGAAGCTAGAAAGAAGCACATTGCTTTTCCCAACTACTCCAATTCTCTGTCTGATCCTCTCCGCAGTGAGCAAAATCAGGAGAACATTTCTAAATGTATCTTAACACTGATAATTCTACAAGCTTATCACTTATCCTGCTGGGTGGAACTGCAGCTTCTGGTCACAAGATTCTTTCTAAAGCAAATGGACTACAAAGTAAAGGCCTGAGGATACCAGACTTGCATGGCTCAGAAAAGTGTTCCACAACGCCATACTGCCAGCAACATGGCAATGCACTGGGGTGTCCTGGATGAAAACACAAGTTTATCCATCACAGATTTTCTAAATCCAGAGAGCAGGGCTGCGCTAGATGGTAGCACAGGGTATGGGTAGTACACACACAGGCAGAACGGAAGAAGCATTCACGAAAGGCAAGTACAGGAGGGAGGAGAGGGGCCAGATTGGATGGGGTAATTCCATTTTCCCCAAATTCACCTGGGAAAGTGGAATTACCCTTTAATCTAGGGGACTCAAATAAAGAAGCTTGACTTACCCGATCCTCAGTCCTGCCAGCTGCTAGTGCGGTCCTTACAGACTCTTCTCCCCTTTGCTCCGGACATCTGAAGACCACTGAAGTCAGTGTCTTAGCAGGTGTGTAGTGTGAGAGGTGAGCACTGACCACCATGGGACAGTGATTCAGGTAAATAAATCTGCTTTGAACCCCCTAGACAAGAAGAGCACTTAACCCTTGCAGTACAGGGGTAGCCCCACTGCAAGGGTACCTTTTATCTTCCCAGAGTTCTTAAAGTAAATGGAATTTGTGGATGTTAATAACGTCTTCAAATAAATGAATTAAGCTGGGAATTACTTACTAATGCAGCATTATAATAGCAGAATACCGCTGTCACCATTTCTTATTTCTTTAATCATTCACAATAAACCGTTCCACGAGCCTGGCTGGCGTCTGCACCCTTCAGAGCAGCCCTGAGACAGAGGAAGCCAGCAGAATCCCACGATATGAATATTAACGAGATAAGTAAGTGAATATATCACAGACAGGACAAAGGCTGACTGACAGTTTAAAAGCTACCGCTCCCTCCAAAAGAGTCTTTTCCCAAGCAGTGAGGGCAGAGGGCAGTGAAAGTTCTATAGACAGTATGAAAAGGGGGCCATTTAATGCCAAGAAAACAGAGGCTGCCAGAGAAACAGCAAAAATAGATTTTGCAGCAAAAAAAAAAGTTTCAAATTTATATAACTTCTACTGTAAGTATGGAATAAAGCTGGACAATTCAAATGGTTCTGTATTGAATAAATGGATGGGCAAGAGCCTAGGCAGAGGTCACCATCAGTGACAACAGCATTCCACAAGGATCAGAAGATCCAGATTTATAGGCAGCTGAAGTTTTATGGAAATCCGCACTACTGTCATAACGCGCAGAGCGACTCTGCCCTCTACTGTTTCTGTATTTTATTTTTGACATCAGAGGAATGGCAACAAACTATTTGGAGACTGGCAAGGAGAGCGGTTTTAGGTCACCTGTAAATCACAAGTGGAACTGGTGGGGAGGTGGACTGAGATGTTGGATTAAAGCCGATTATTATCTGCATGTATTTTGACTTCCCTGGTTCATCCCTCCCACCTCATTGGGTCCCCAGCCAGTGGGGCCATCACTGGGTCCCCAGCCAGTGGGACCTCCCACCTCATTGGGTCCCCAGCCAGTGGGGCCATCACTGGGTCCCCAGCCAGTGGGGCCATCACTGGGTCCCCAGCCAGTGGGGCCATCACTGGGTCTCCATGCAATGCAGGCAGAGCATGGCTTGTGGCATATGCTGTACATAGCATATCAGTACTCTTAAGATCCCTCATCCCTAATGCAAGCAATGGGCTGGCTCTAGGGAAGAATTAGGCAAATATCAAAATGCCTGGATGGGTGGATGTCAGTTGGAGGAGTAAGCATTCCTGCACAGACTGAATTTGCACGCAGGCCACCCTAGGCAACCCCCAAATATGATGCTGAGCCTCCATATTTGAAAGAACTGAAATGCAATTAATAAAATGGGCTAGATGATGCTAGACATCCTCCAGCCAGGAAAGGAGACAGGCTCTGACTGTGTCACTTATGGAAACCTTGTAAAAGGAAGATAAGACATTTCCATACCTGCACAAATAGCAGCAATCAGACCTTTTTTAGCATCCTGTTCCTGTAACACTTCCTTCACTGCAGGAGACTGGAAGAAACAGAAATAAGTCACCATTCAGACTACCTTAGAAGAGATTACTCCTCTAGAAATGGAAAGAAATGAAAAGACGTGTACCTCCGACAAATTCTGAGCTCCGAGATTTCCTCCAGGAAGGACCACAGCATCATAAGGACCCTGGAATATAAAATAAAGCAGCAGAATCACTCAAAGGCAAATGGACAGTGTATGTATGTATGTATGTATGTATGTATGTATGTATGTATGTATGTATGTATGTATGTATGTATGTATGTATGTATGTATGTATGTATGTATGTATGTATGTATGTATATCTAGAGGGAGATCTATATCCATCTATCTATAATTTATATAAATTTACAAAATGCAAAGTGCGTGAACAGAAGAAAAATATAAAAGCAAATCAATATTTGGTGTGCTCACCCTTTGGCTTCAAACCAGCATCAATTCTTAAGGTGGCCATACACTTTACAACCATCGCAAGACCTTAGTCTTGCGATGGTTGTAAAGTAATTTAAAAAAAATAACGGACGATCTGCCCATCTTGGACAGGCAGATCGTGCTCTCGATCATCGCAAGCCCGCCCCCGAGGGGCGGGCTTCCAATGACCGCAATGCTGAACGGGCAGTGTGCGCGTGCGGCATTGATGTACGATTTTCGGCTGGTTTTTAGCATGATCGTAAGGATTCTCGGCTGGTTTTCTAGCATGCTCCTTAGACAAAAAAAGATGTGCGACCGTACAGTAAAAACGGTTGCACGTCTTCCATACACTTTGCGATTATCGTACGATCGCGGGATTTCCCGCAATTATCGTGCGACAATCGCACAGTGTATGGGCACCTTTACACTTGCACCAAGTCAGGGATTTTGCAGGATTAGAGTCAGGTGTATGATTAACCAATTATACCAAGCAAGTGCTAATGATCATCCATTTCATATGTAGGTTGAAATACAGTCATTAACTGAAACAGAAACAGCTGTGTAGGAGGGTAAAACTGGGTGAGGAACAGCCAAACTCTGCTACTAAGGGGAGGTTGCGGCAGACAGTTTCAGGTCACAGGTAATGCACCATGGCAAGACAGAGCACAGCAACAAGACACAAGGTAGTTATACTGCATCAGCAAGATCTCTCCCTGGCAAAGATATCAAAGCAGACTGGGGTTTCAAGATGTGCCGTTTAAGCTCTTTTGAAGAAGCACAAAGAAACTGGCAACGTTGAGGACCGTAGATGCAGTGGTCAGCCAAGGAAACAATGCAGTAGATGGAGGACACATCATGCTTATTTTTCTTCAACATCAGATGTCCAGCAGGGCCATCAGCACCAAACTGGCAGAAAGCAGTGCGACCCAGGTACACCCATCTACTGTCAGGAGACGTCTGGCCAGAAGAGGTCTTCATGGAAGAATTGCGGCCAAAAAGCCATACCTCAGACGTGGAAACAAGGCTAAGCGACTCAACTATGCAGGAAAACATAGGAAGTTGGGTGCAGAAAAATGCAGCAGGTGCTCTGCACTGATGAGTGAAAATCTGAAATATTTGGCTGTAGCAGGAGGCAGTTTGGTCACAGAAGGGCTGTAGAGCGGTACAATCATGAGTGTCTGCAGGCAACAGTGAAGCATGGTGGAGGTTCCTTGCAGGTCTGGGGCTGTATTTCTGCCAATGGAGTTGGGAGATTTGGTCAGGATCAATGGTGTCCTCAATGCTGAGAAATAGAAGCAGATACTTATCCCTTCTTGCCATACCATCCGGGAGGCGTGTGATTGGCCCCAAATTTATTCTGCAGCATGACAACGACCCCAAACATACAGCCAATGTCATTAAGAACTATCTTCAACATAAAGAAGAACAAGGCGTCTGGAGTCTGTCTGGGATTATATGAAGAGACAGAAGGATTTGAGGAAGCCGACATCCACAGAAGATCTGTAGTTAGTTTTCCAGGATGTTTGGAACAACCTACCTGCCGAGTTTCTTCATAAACTGTGTGGAAATGTACCTAGAAGAATTGATGCCGTTTTGAAGGCAAAGGGTTGTCACACAAAATATTGAATTTCTCTTCATTTACTTTCCATTTTGTTCATTGATAAAACTATGAACACTTATTTCTAAAAGCATTCTTACTTTAAAACATTTCATCACACCCACCAAACCGCACCCCCTTCCACCACCAGTGCTAAAAGGGGTGTGAGCATTTCAACAAAATTCTGAATGAACCTTTTGCACACTGCAATACACACTTACATATTTCTAGCAAACCATTTTATATAATCCAGTTCATAAATCTGAAGTCTTATTATATAGTGGCTCTTTAAACATTGGAGGACAGAAGTGGCGGAGGCAGGTGTCCCAAATTAGACCGAGCGCCTGTGGTCAGGTGCCAGAAATTCTGACCTTTCCAGCTCCAGTCTTCTGCTGTAATAAACGAAAATCAGCTCATCCCACAGCCCGCATAACTGGAGCAGTCTGGGAAGATCTGCTTATGATGAATTGAACTGGTTCTGCATTGTTCTGGATTCATAAAAAGGAGAATTCTATCAAACTCCTATCGATACAATCAATTCATTGAAGTGGACAGAGATGGTGGTTCAGAGATGACACGATTATACTATTGCCGTGTAGTGCGATAGGTCATAGAAGGAAAGGCTACACAATACCTGTTCAATGTTGTTTCCCCTTTACTCTGAACCTCCCTCCATACATTGTCTTAACCTTTTTTAGCATCCTGTTCCTGTAACACTTCCTTCACTGCAGGAGACTCCGACAAATTCTGAGCTCCGAGATTTCCTCCAGGAAGGACCACAGCATCATAAGGACCCTGCTTGCGTGCCTCTTCTAGACTGGTGTCCGGACAGATAACAACGTCTCTGCTGCACTGAACGGGTTCTTTGCCTGTCAGGCCGGCGACTACCACAGTGATCTGGATCAGAAAGAAAAAAAATTGTGGAATGTGACAATTATTGTCTTTGGAATATCATTCCCACTATACACAGCGCCAGGAGTCATCTGCTGCCTCCATTACTGGATCTACTGATGTGTTTTTTTTCTGGCTGAGGGGTGACCAACTTTTATGTTGCATCATGTAATGCAAATTTTGACTTGCCAAGATTTAGAACAGGTTCACTATAGAGCGAACCTGCGCTTTGCTCATTAAACACACAAAAAAAAAAAAAAAAGAGACGAACCTGCTCTTTTCTCATTAAAAACAAAAAAAAAAAAAAAAAAAAACACAAACCTCAAAACGGTTTGCTTTCATCCATCCATATTTAGGATGTAACAGAGCATGGTGCCATTCCGCAGCCCCCCCCCTAACCTCAGCACGCCCTCCAACTCACCTGAATTGCTGGGTGCTCCACCCCACAGGCTTCTGTATGTTATTGCACTTGGAGCAGCTGTGCATGGCTCCGCCCCCGCAGCCATGCCATTCATTCACAGGATCACCAGCGGTCACTGCAGTAGAGGGACTCATAGGTCTCTATGGTGACGTCACCAAACTTGTACTGCAGTGTTAGAGAAGAACTCCGGGGAGCCTGCACTGTGTAACGCCATCAGAGGGGGGCAACACCAAAATGACTGCCAATCATTTTGGTGTCACCCCCCTCTGAAAAGTCAGATACTCTGTTATGGACCGAGAGCCCGACAGTTACACGAGAGGAGAGGACATGGCGGCATACCTTATCCCGCCAGATGAACATCCTCACCTCTCTTTGCTGGCATCCATCACCAAGATGGCCACCAGCAGTTAAGTGCATGTGCCATCATTACGCACGCACATAATGACATCATGTGTGTGCATAAGGGCCTGCCACCAGGTGACAACCAGCATGGGGGCGCCTCTGGCTGTAAAAATCTTACAGCACCTCATGGGATTTGTATTTCCTCAACAACTGTAGGGCCGGAGTTTGCCCACCCCTGAGGTGTAGTCTTAGGCCAATTCCACCTTCCATTCCATGTTGCACCCATATTTAGGGTATAACATGAAACAGTGCCATCCCGCAGCCCCCTCGCCACCATTTTTACTTGAATCATGGGGTACTTGTCATCACAGGCTTTTCTCAATTAGGTGCAGCTGTGCATGGCTCTGCCCACACAGTCCTGCAATTCATTCACTTAATAAAAGCAACTACAAGTACTGTCTGCCACCACGGCAGAGGGACTCAGATTCCAATACAGTACAACTGTGGTGACATCACTGCACTTGTAGTCCATTCATAACTTCCTGCAACCCCATAACCAATCGTCCGTGCCTCCATATGGACCTGGGTCTGCAGGAGCCAGAGCATTGCACCTACCATCCACTGATCACAATACTTTGCAAGCTTCAAGGAAATACATTTTTCATTTTTGGTGCATTTATTCATTTGTTGTGAAATATGCCTTTAACACACTTCCTGATAACACCGCAGAGTGCACAGGCCAGTCCTGGGTTTCTGGCAGGATCAACAGGTATTTGTTTTTACAGATCTCACTTTTATCATAACATTAGCACATCAAAAGGAAGTGAATCATTGCTACAGGGTTCATACAGGGCAGTATAAATGCTTTGGGTAGTTGAAGAGGACATATTTGTATACAGATCTGTATAGCAGAACCATGGGGGAGGGGGGGTTATGCTGAAGTAAAGAGGAGAGGGGTGAGGGTCCAGATCCAAACAGGGGACAGCTGTAGGCAATGCATTCTGCTAATTGCACCCTCATGCATGTAATTGCAATAATCTTATATGTACTTCTGGCAATGAGCCAACCTGTGATCATCATAACTTGTGCAGACACTGTTATACTCACTCCAGCCCTCCTCATCAAATCAGTGGGTATGACCGTTTCCATCTCCTCTGCTCCTTTGGCGAGGATCACCAGGACTCTCTTGCCGGCCATGCTGCTGGAGAAGTCAATACAGCTCGATCTCCTGCAAAATGCAAATGTGAAATGTCACCGCTCCAGCACACCCCCCTTTTAACAATCAGATGGAGCGACGCGCAGGACAAACTTCATAAACGCGAACGCTGCGGGCTGCATATCGCCACCTAGTGTCCTTTTTAAATATTACACATTATACAATACATGGTCTCCCCTCCTCTACTGCAGCCTATACTGGGATTAAAGTGACACTAAACTCAGTTAAATGTTAAAAATGCATTCAAGTACCTTAACTATTAACAAAAATGTATCTTATTTGTGCTTCACTCAGCTCTGCATTCTTACCGACACTGTCTTTCTTCTAGAGGGCAGTGACGTCACTATGGGGTTGCGACCTGCACCAGGTGACACCATCAGAATGACATTAGTCATTTTGGTGTCTCCCCCACTGAAAAGTCAGAGCCCGACAGCTGCACGAGAGAGGAGGGTACCCGGCAACATACCTTATCCCGGCAGGTGAAGATCCTCACCTCTCTTTGCGCCAAAGATGGCTTGATGACACACCCCTAGGGGGCATGTCCTTCACTTTCTGTGCTCACAGAAAGTAGGTTGAATAAAGGTGGGTGGCATTCAGCCTCCAGGGGAGTCAGGCACTGATGAAAGGAGTGAAGTCCAAAAAGAACAGTGAGTCCTAGCCTGGTTCCTCCCCACTCTTCCACTCTTCCAATGTCTCCTTTAAAAGTAGAAGCATTCCAGAGGGCCATCACTCCCATTCCCATTTTGGAAAGATTCCAGGAATTTTTTTTCCAATCTATTCACAATCCCAAAACCAGATGGAGGGATTCATCCTAATCTAGACCTAAAAAGCCTGAACACATTTTTGTCAGTACCCAAATACCAGGTGGAAACAATTCATTCTTTTCTTGCCTCCCTACAAGAGGGAGATTTCCTGGCCTCAAAGATACGTATCTATATGTCCCTATTTTTCCTTTCGATCAGCACTTTCTATTTTTTTGCCCTAGAAGGCGAACATTTTTAGTTTGCAGCTCTCCCTTTTGGTCTCTCTACTGCCCCTCGGGTGTTCACAAAAGTATGGGCACCAATTTTAGCTCTGTTGCGTTATCAGGGAATTCACAGTGCATTATCTGGATGATCTCCTCCTGAAAGCACAGTCCAAGCTGGATCTGATAGTGAACATTCACAGGACACTTTAAATGTAGCAGTAATGCTAGGAAAGTGTTTTCAGTCAGTCCAGTGGACACTCCTAAGTACAGATGCCAATCTTTCAGGTTGGGGAGCTATTCTAGGGGATCTGTCGGCTCACGGAACGTGTAGCTCACATCAGCATTGCCTAACAACATCCTAGAGTTGAGGGTCTTGCTATTCCTCACTGGTTCAGTCATCTTCAGGGCAAGCCAACAAGGGTGCAGTCTGACAACGCTACAGCTGTTGTGTACATAAATCATCAGGGGCACAAGAAGTTATGCAGCCCTGAGAATGTACCAATTCTGTCAGCAGTTCTAATTCCTGGGGTGGAAAATTGTCAGGCTGACTTCCTCACTTGGCAGCAGCTTTACCAGGGAGAGTGGTCCCTAAATACAGAGGTGTTTCAACAGATCTGTCATTGGTGGGGAACTTCAGATTTAAATCTTTTATAGCATCCAGATTCAACAACAGGATAGGTTTGTACCCAGATGCAGAGATCCAAAGGCCTTTGCAGTGGATGCTCTATCTTTCTTGGGATCAGTTCGGCCTAATCTATGCTTTTCCTCCACTGAAGATTCTGCTGCGTCTCCTTCGCAGGATAGCTCTAGATGGGATTCCAATGATCCTGGTGGCTCCCAGCTGGCCCAGGCTGTGTGTAGATTGTCTATGGAGTCTTCCCAATTGTCCGTATCTTCTGTCTCAGGCTCCGGTCTTCCACCCTGCTTCTCAGTCACTGGCATTGATGGCATGGCTGTTGAAGCCCAGTTCCCAAGAGAAAGGGGCTTGTCGGAAGAGGTTTTTCCCACTTTGTTACAGGCCCTCGTTTCCAAGGGTATATTACCAAGCGTGGAAAGCATACTTTTCCTGGTCCGAGAGGATGAACTTTGACCCCAGAGTTTTTATGATGAGCCAGATTTTATTATTTATACAATTTATGTTGAGTCAGAAATTGGCCCTGAGCATTAATACGGACAGATTTTGGCCTTAGCAGTTCTTTTTAGGAGCCCTTGGATGTTTTTTTTTAAAATTAAAGTATATGTAGAGCCAAACTTTTTTGGGGGGGTTTTGGCTATATAAAATTCTGTACAACCAGTCTTATGATTCACATGCCTCTGCCACAATGCATAGCTCAGATGATGACTACACTAGTTCCTAGGTCAACTTTGCAATACACTGCATTGTCTACACACCCAGTGAGTTGTTGATTCAGCTGCTTGCTAGCCTATCAAATATAAGAATTTGTGCATCATACATTCTAAACTATTTCATGCGTCTTCATACACCTGTTTTGTTACTTGACGCAGTTACAAGCATTTTTTATCTTATCTTGTGTGAGATTAATATTAACACGTTGAAATGCCCTAAAACATGCATGGAAATGGTTACAAAACCCACATGACTGGAAAATCCATTCAAGGCATGCTTCTACATGCTAAGGAAATCCACTCTCGTTTCTTATTGAGACCTTTAAGAATTCCATCTGCTTTTTAAGAATGTACTGTTTTCCTATAACAGAAAAGAAAAGTGACGAGATGGATGAAAAGGGTGGGGTCTGGAAAGAGGTGGGGGTCAACACTACAGCATGTGACATTGAGCATGAGAGTGAAATGGTACACAATGATGAATTCAAACCTACCTCTAGGATGAAAGAAAAACCAAAACACTTCAATTGCATACTTTTAGCATGCGTCTTTATTGCTCATAGTTTCTAAATGAAAATCTCTTTGTGTGGCTTCTTCCTGGGATGTCTTCCGTTTTCCCGTAAATAATAAACACACTCAACGTCTCATTTAGAACTAGAAGCCAATGTTTGCTTTGTCATGAGAACAAATAGATGTCTGTTTTCCAAAGCAATTAAATGACCTCAGGTTAAATTAGAATATTTTCCAAAGAAAGCACTTGGAATTTTTCAACATGGGAATGTACCAATGTCTCCATATTTGGCATATATCATTTTCATCATTCGTAGACAGGTTTCTTCATATAGGGTCATATTCATGGCGTTTTGTACCTGGGTAATAAATGGGGGGGAAAAACTGCCGTGGTTGTAAAATTTAGGCATCCAGAGGTGCCAACACATACTCGCAGAAGCCTCCAAAACCTTGCCATTATGACCATTCTGATAGGTGCAGCTCTGACAGTTCCAGATAGGATCGGAGCTTGCAGATACCCCGCACTCCGCATTCCCATTGGCCCATCACTACAACTGGCCACCTATCTGGCCCATTCAGCAGTTTAGCACTTTCCAAGATTTGACCATTACTGCAAAGTTTTGCAGGCTGCTGCAGGCATGTGCATATAACATGAAGAGACTCTCTTTTAAGGAAATTGCAGATATAAAGGTAGCCTACCACTAAAGTGACTCGGCCAAGTTGCCTAAAATATTTAAATAGCTGCTTTCTGTAGTAGTGTAAACTCACCGGTGGCCAAAGTTTTGTACCTTTCCTCCGTTCCAGCACTGCAAACGTCTTGAGCATTCAACAACACTTTGAAAGTATCATATTTGGAAGTGTCCTGTAGTAATGTAAGGTTCGGAGCCAAGAACCACAGCACACAGCAGAAGACACGGACATCCAACACTCCCAGATGTGTTGTTGAAGACTTAGGCAGAGGCTGTAGCACTGGAACGGAGTGGAGGCTGAAATCTCGGGCTACTGGAGAGGATAATATACCAACTCTTTTATTACAGGGAACAGCTATTTACATTTTTGTAAGGAACTGAAACTGACACGTGGACCTCCTAGAGCCTGCTAAAAACCTTGACAGCACCATAAGTGTTGAAGCCAATGGGAAAGCGTGTCAGAATGCAGGTATGTAGTGGCCATCTAGAAGATATGGTAAATACCAGCAGTGGAGTACACTTACTAATCTACTTCTGTGACCCAAAATCAGCATTTAATGTTCTACTGCCTGCTGTTTGCTGCAGCATGGAGGCGCCCTGCAGCCCAAAGAGATCCTGACAATATTGTCAGGTTCCACCCAGCTGCCTGAATGACAGATGGCTCTGCCTCCCTAGAGCCAGAACCAGCTGTGCCCGCCCCTCCCCTATCTGTCTCTCCAGTGAGCATTGTAGGAAAGAGGGGAGGGGGAATCCCTGCAGGGGGCGGTAGTTGACAGTCACTGCTCTCTGCAGGGAGAAGACCATGAGCTGAGTGATCAGCGGATCGTAATCACTCAGCTCTCGACCTATAGAGCTGGCAAGTTACACTTGTAGTGTCAGGCATGAGCTCTATGTATTGGGAAGAGTACATTTTACTCTCCTAATACTTCTCCTTTCAGGGGAAGTGTTCCAGTAACTGTATAAACATTTGGTCACCAGGACATTAAGACGATATCTCTATTACCAGCATACATTGAGCAACAAACGCTCATCATAATAAACTGGAAACATGTTGTAATTCTGGATTGTATCGCTGTCCAATGTAAGCACTGCAAAGATGCTCTTTCATGTTCTGTCCTGATGATGAGGAAGTTCTCACAATGGGGCACAGGCTGCAATAAAAACCTGGTAGGGTTTAGGGAAGAACTCCGGGAATTTAAAAAACTTACTCTTGCAGAGGGGCTGCTCCCACACTGCAAGGGTTAAGTGCTCATTTTGTCTAGGGGGCTCAAATAAGCAGATATACTCGCCTGATCCTCAATCCTCTGAGCTGCTAGACCAGTCCCCACAGCCTCTTCTCCCCTGCACGCCACTGGTCTGTATCATGTGTACTTACAGAAGTACTGTCTGCTGCTGCACATTGAGACTCCTAAGCAAAAATATTAGCACTGCAATTCAGAAACTCAACACTTTCTGAAGCGTAGGATACTTGCAGTGCCCCATTTCTTGGGAGCCTCTATAGCCAACACATCTGTACATCTAATCGTGATTAGACATGTGCGATTAGTTTTGTTCCGAATCGAAA